GGGGTGGGTACCAGGTTTGTGGCTCAACAAACTTCGAATATTTCCCGCCTTCCGAAGTTCCCGCCTTCATCCGAAGTCTAACTACCCGTTTGTTTATCTGTCGAACTTGAGTAGGGGTGGGTACCAGGTTTGTGGCCTCTGTAAAGATTTCCCGCCCTCCGCTTCTCTCCCTCCCTCCCATCCTCCCTCCCGCCTTCATCACTCCCTTCTTCCCGCCCTCCTCCCTCCCTCCCTCATTCCCGCCTTCCGAAGCTCCCGCGTTCACCCTGATCAAATATGGGGAAAAGGAAAAGAGGAAAACAAAGAAAGTCTTGTTCTGATTCACAGACGACTGTCAAGATGTGTTTGAAAAAACATCTCAAACAACACACAATGATCGGTGTGATTGATGATTGGGTGAAACACATAAGCAAAATAAGCCATCGAGGTAGCATCATCTTCAATCATCTATTGTTATGGTGTTTTGAGAAGGATTCAATGCAAGGTGATGATACGTACATTACAAGGCTGTTTGATCAGATATACAATCGTACTAGAAAAGTAACAGACAAAGAAAAAGAAGAAGGGATGCAAGAAGAAACGGTCAAGACCAATGGTGGAGAGAAAGTTTTCTTTCGGACCTGTTTTCTGATGGGTGAAAAACGCAGAGGTAATGCAATTCAGTTTGATATTTTAGACGAGTTTTGGCAAGAAAAAGGGAACAAGTATCTACCAATACAACGCAGGAAAGAAGGGGATATTCGAGTACTGTACTATTCTGCTGATCAATATGCAACAAATTTCCAAAATTACATATTCTATACGATGGGACAAAAACAGACTAGATACATAAAGGAATGGGGAAAGCTCAATGGGATTTCTTCAGAAAAGGAGATACAGGATATACGGAATGCAGTAAACGGATGGAGCTTTCCACCAAAAACTCGTGTTCTCGAAAGACAGGATGTCATTGATTTCATAAGGGAACAAAAAGAGATCATTGGATGGGACAATCATTATAACTTGTCATGGGCCCGTGACAAAATCAAGAAAAACCCTGAACAGCAAAAATGGATGCAATTACACATGCCAAATCTTGTCAAGTACCATTTTTCGGTTCTGAGGTTTTTGGAGATTCATGATATATCTGATCGATACACGATCGCTCCGATTTTTCAGATACGCAAACAATTTATTCGCGTAGACATTTGGGGTTTATTCTACATTATGGATCAATCTGGTCTGTTGCAATATTCAAAGGGTGGGAAAAGCAAATGCATGAAAAAGTTCACACAACAAAAACATAAGCGATTCTTGTCGGTGTTGAAGCTACAATCAAATTTGAGAAAGAAAGGGACAGTTGATAGCATACAGACTGACGGAGTCGCACTCTGTGTGACGTTCAAGAAGAGAATACACAATGAGACAGACAATACTACTACAAAGAAAAGCAAAACAAGAGATTGTGATGTGTCCTCAAGACGAGTTATTGCAATCGATCCTGGTCGCAATGTACTGATATGCGGTGTCGAGCAAATACCTGGTCAAGAAAAACCAAAGCAGTATCGATATACTCGAAGGCAGTACTATCATGAGTCTCATATTACTCGGAATAACGCCAAGTTAGAAAAATGGAGACAAGGCATAACAGAGGAATCAAACGATATTGCAAGAGTGTCAGCAAAAACGTCTCGGTTGGATCACTTTGAAAGATACATCGACACCGTGGTGAGACTAAGCGAGATCCTGTTCGAACACAATTGTCAAAACAAGTTCGCACGCCTGAAGATGGATAACTACATCCACAAACACAAGGCGATTGATACGTTCTTCAAGAAGATGAAAGGTAATGGGACAGATCAAAATCCAATAATTGCATACGGTGATGCATCATTCGGTTGTACTGGGCGTGGAGAGAAGTCAGTGCCTGTAAAATGGATCAAAAGGCGATGTCAGAACTTCTTCGAGGTGACGGCAGTTGATGAATACAGAACGACAAAATGTTGCAATCAATGTCATCAAGAATTGTATGATTTGAGACGCAAACAAATCAACAAGAATGGTATACTTGCTGACGAAGTGTCAGTGGTGCGGGGTTTGAAATGGTGCAGATCCACCAATTGTGTTCAAAACCGTATCAAGTCTCGTGATGTCAATGCTGCTATGAATATTCTATTGTGCTACATGTCTCTACCAGCACGACCAGATTTTCTGAAACGGCCTTGAATCACACATGGGTCTGGTTATACTTCAACCTGTTCTTCATAGAAAGGATGAAGTACGAGTCAGACACAAGGAAATATTGGCGTGTGGGTCTTCAATGATCCATA